GGGTGGGTGCGGGTGCGTTTGCGTGTCTCAAGGGTGCCTCCTCTGGAGGAGATGGGATGGGGTGGGGTGGGATGGGATGGGGTGTCCCAGGCGAGCAGGACCCGAGGCGATGGTGAGGGCAGAGCTGCCGGGGGGCTGTCTATAAATTACTGCTCATGAGGCCAACCCTACCCCAGAAGAAAAGATGCCAGCACCGCGAAGCAAACACAGCTGCCGCGCTGGTGACATCAAAATTGTTCCTTTGATCCGTCATTTTCCACGGGAGATTCTCTTTTTGTTTTTGCTTTAATTTTCCTTTTTCACTCTTTTATTTTATTTTTTTTTTTTTTTTTTTGTCTCATGTGCATAAAATACGGCTAATGACAAACTGTGGTGCCCGCACGTGAGTGACAGCTGAAATGAGAGCAATGACTGATCGGGCCTCCTGAAGCCCTGTCGCATGGAGATTAAATGAGCCCTTTTTTCTTCCCCCCTCAATGAGAATCATGGGCATTTGAATAATAATATTATAGTCTCCATTAGGATGACAGTGGGGGAATAAAATCGGCTCAGACCTGTGATTATTCCTTCAATCTAATAATTATTTAAATACCAGATAACTCCTTTCAGCTTAATTGAGGCCTTTCAGCTGCTTGGGTTTATATTGTGTGCCTGAATTTACTCTCTCTTTCACCTTGCGTTACTAATAGCTTCAGATTGCTTTTAGGGCCGTATTTTAAACTTGCTTCCAAAAAAAGAGAAAAAATTAATGGTCAAATACTATTAAAGATGGGAGTTAAAATTGCCGGCTCTCCTGTTTCCCCAGTGTTTAACTCCCCAGCTGCACCGAGCCGTCCCCCAGCCCTCCCCGGGGCGAGCAGCGGGGTTCTGCTGGGCCTCGACCGCTGTCACCGAGCTGCGTCGCCGTAAGGCCCGGCGCGGACGTTGGGCTTCAGCTGGGAGCTCTGCTGCCAACCGCCCCGCGCCGGCTTTGTGCTGCCTCTGACCGAGGACGTCGCTGGAAAAGAGAGCGAGCGGCTGGGCTCGGAGTGAAGAGCTGCTGCTGTCCCGTATATATATATATACATATATATATTTGCCTGTAAAACTGAATTATTTAGGTTCATTAATTTCTGGCTTGCACTGTTCTCTTCTCACTTTGCAGTGGAACTTTTTAACAGTTGGAAAGCTTCTGAGCAGGACAGCTGTTGTGTGCTGGGCTTTGCAGCGGAGCCTCCCTGCTCTGCAGAATCTCTTTCACATTCTGGACTTGCTCTGTGATTCTGTGGCGTTCAAAAAACGCGTTGATATGGTGCTTCAGGACTGGTGGTGTTGGGTTGGCGCGTGGACTTCATGGTCTTCTTCAATCTCAATGATCCTATGACTTCCCTTGAACCAAAGCCCTCTGCTCCCGAAGCATCCCTGCTTCTCAGGGAATGGGAAACGGGGGCAGGCGTTATTCTGGGGCTCCCGTTAGTGAGGGACACCTTGGCCTCGGAGGAGAGCCCACTGCTGCTGCCCAGGGTGGAGTCTGCTTTCTCTGTGCCCTCGGGCGCTGCAGCCACCTCCTTGGTGCCCTCCCCACGGTGAGGGCTGCCAGGTTGCCGTGTCCGAGCACATGCGTGGGGCACCACAGTGCTCGATGGTTCTCACGTGTTCATCTGGGGCAGCTCTGCTGTTGTCTGGGCCGCCCCGCGGGGCTCCTGGACCTGCAGCTCTCGTGCCACCTTCCCTGGGCTCCTCTTGAGCAGTTCCACGGCGCGGGGGTCCCGGTGGGTTTACAAGAAGGCACCGTGCTACTGGCCAGCGTCTCCCCACCAGCAACACGCACGGGCTTCCCGGTGCCTTGGGCTGCAGCGCTGCGTTATCCAAGAGCAAGGCTGCTCCGAGGTCCTGGTGCCCGTGGTCAGGTCGGTGGTGCCCACCGCGGGTCACCAGCAGCCCTTGGGTGGGTGGGCAGCACGGAGAGCCTTGCTCTGCGCAGATCCTCGGTGTCGTTTGTGCCCTTGTGAAAGATTCTCGATTCGGAGAACGGTTTGGGGATGTTCACTCAGAAATTTAATGAGAAGAGGCGGGGAGGTCACCTCGGTGCTGCTGTGGCACGTTCAGGGCCGCGGCGCGGGCGGCTGCGTGCCGCCACAGTCATCCAAACCAGAATAAGAATGCAGCAGCGTCTGCGTCCTGGCTGGGAGAGAGAGAAACCGCTTCAGCCAAAGGTGGAAATTAAGAGACTGGAAATAAGAAGCAAGCAGCCGGGGAAACGTGTCCCTGAGCAGAATGAGAAACCCGTTACCGCTCTCTCCTGTCTTGTCAGTGACACCGAGACGTGCAGCCCAGGGACAGAGCTCCTTTGTCACCTTTCAGAAGCACCCGGCTCCGGCTCCCGGCGTTAACAAGCCTGAAGAGCGGCCGTTGGGTGACACTCGCTTATGAGCTCAGTGTAGGTTTTCAGCAGCGTGAATTATTTTAAATACCAAAACGGAGCTCAACATCAATCAAACTGGTGGCAGCCTGGAGGTGAGGCTGGCTGAGCGTGGGCTGTGCTGGGGAGCAGCCTCCTGAGGTTGCACACAGGGCAGGGGAGAAGAGTCCGATTTGCAAAGAGTGCGAATTTCTCCCCGGCGCGTGTACTCGGGGCTTGCACAGCCGTGGAGGGCAGTGATGGAACCTTGGTACAGGAGGGCTGGTGGCTCATCCTCAGCCTCTTACCAGAGCTGGTGCAACCTGTGGTGCTGGGAGGTGGTGGAGAACATCTCTCCCCAAGGCAGGCTGAAATGATTCCTTTGATCGTCCGGCCTGGGGTGTGTAAGGAATGCAGAATTTGGGATGAAGGAGAACTTGGTGGTGGTTTTCCAAGTCCAGGTGGTCAGATATGTCTGTGGTGATGAGCAAGGCTGAGGTCAAGCTAGGAGCAGAAGTCATGGTCAGGTCTGGAGATAACAAGGGTGAGACACAATCCAGTGACCTCCAGGCATGTCTGTGGTGATGAGGGGGGTACAGAGCCCGGGTGCAGGGATGCTCTCAGGGCCCTTACGTGGTGCCTGGCTCAGAGTGTTGTTCTGCGGGCCCCACAGCTCCTCCGAGCAGCTCAGAGGGTCCTTGCTGCTTTGCAGGGTGCGTGGCTGGCATCGCTTCCAGTTGCTGTGTGGGAGCCCGAGGTGGTGCTGGAAGGTACTGGAAGTGTGGGGCTGCGTGGGGAGCAGGGCTGATACCTCCTGCGTGGGGTGGTCCAAGCCGGACACCCTTAGATGAGTCAGACATGGAAATATGTGGATTTGTGTTGTCTTTAATGTTCGTAATGTTGCTAGGGGAGCCTGCCATCGTAGCAGAGGTGCTAGGGGATGAGGTGGAGCAGGCAGAGGGTATAAAGGTCCTCTTCAACAGCTACTGTGTCTGTGCGCTGTCCGGAAGGGCGGGTGGAAAGCTCGGATGTGAACGTGTCTCACGCAGCCGGAGCCTCTCGGAGGTCAGCGCCCGTTTCCTAAGGAAATTCCAGCCTGGTGATTCCTAGCTCAGCCTGACGGTTGCGAGGTGGGAGGATGGGGATCAGAGGGGCTCCAGCTCTGCCTCGCGCCCGGCTGAGGTCTGGGTGCTTTGGGAGCACCCACAAAAACCAAACAAACAACCACCAAACCTGTCTGTCTTTCACGCCTGATTTTGGCCAGAGGTCTCCAGCTGGAGTCTTACCTCGCCTTGTTTGTGTGGGTGGGAACGTGTCGGCAGAAGGAGACTCTGCTGCTGCCTGTTACCCACAGAGCTGTCGGGGAGGGTGTATGGGCAGTGTGGTTGTCATCGGGTCTTCTGGAGCCCGTGTCCAAGCTGTCGCTTTGTGTGGGTTTTAGTCATCACCTGGAAGATCTGTTGGAGCAGGAAATTAGCCCAGGGCTCCCAGACTGGTGGTCTCTCCCCTGCCCGCGGTGCTACTGGCAGCGTTTGGTTGCTGATCTAACCGTGTCCCCCCAGCCCGGTGGCAGCTGCTTTTCAGCAGTGACGTACCTTGTGAAGGAGGCGAGAAGGTTCTGCACCTGCAGAGGCTCCTCTGGCTCTGGGGAAGGCAGGAGGGGAGATGCTGGCGGCTTTGGTGTGTGCGTGCCCAGTGAACCTGCCTGCGTGAGACTTCTTCCTCAGGTTTCCAAATTAAATCAGGGAGGATTTAAAGGTAGAAAACACCTCTTATTTCCTCTGTTGCTTCCAACAACATACCCTGCAGGAGACATCCTTTTAGCCAAGATGGCAGATGGATGGTTGGGTGTGAGAGCTGCAGGCTTTGTCTTGGGCTGAAGCTGATCATCCCCTCCAGTGGCTGGGCAGAGTACATTAGAAACAGCTCAGCCACAGAACGAATTATCACGCAGAGGCTGAACCAAGTGGCAAAACATCAAGCCTGAACTGTTTACCAATAAGTTAGGAGACCTGCTTAATTCTTGTTGGGCTTAGGGACGTCCGCACTTTATCTCAAGGACTATGTAATTAGAAAGCCTCCTTTGAATTTTATCTGCAGGGCACACTGGATCTAATCCTTTGCTCTGTGTGTTTCTTTTCTTTCCCCAGAACCATGTGAGGGACATTGCTGGGGCACAGGACACGTGCAGGGAACACAAAATTTGCCTTTCCCAGGATGGATCAAAGGAAGAACTGGCCTCGGGTACCGGACTCCGATGGCTGGTCGGTGGCTTTGCTCTGTCTCTTCCTGGCATCATTCTCCCGAAACGTGTCCAGCAATGCCTTGTTCAGCACTTTCCACTCTGAGAACCGGGACTGGACGTTTAACCACCTGACTGTCCACCAAGGCACTGGAGCAGTCTACGTTGGAGCTATCAACAGGGTTTACAAGCTTTCGGGTAACCTGACCATTTTGGTGGCTCATAAAACTGGTCCTGAGGAGGACAATAAATCCTGCTACCCACCCCTCATCGTCCAGCCATGCAGCGAGATCCTCACCCTCACCAACAACGTCAACAAGCTGCTGATCATTGACTACTCCGAGAACCGACTGCTGGCGTGTGGCAGCCTCTACCAGGGGGTCTGCAAGCTGCTGCGGCTGGACGACCTCTTCATCTTGGTAGAACCCTCGCACAAAAAGGAGCACTATCTCTCCAGCGTCAACAAGACGGGCACGATGTATGGGGTGATTGTGCGCTCGGAAGGTGAAGATGGGAAGCTCTTCATTGGCACAGCGGTGGATGGGAAGCAGGATTATTTCCCCACCCTCTCCAGCCGCAAACTTCCCCGGGACCCAGAGTCATCAGCAATGTTGGATTATGAGCTCCACAGTGACTTTGTCTCATCCCTCATCAAAATCCCCTCAGATACCTTGGCCCTTGTTTCGCACTTCGATATCTTCTACATCTATGGTTTTGCCAGCGGCAACTTTGTCTATTTTCTAACTGTCCAGCCAGAGACGCCGGAGGGGGTCTCCATCAACTCTGCCAGCGATCTCTTTTACACCTCTCGCATCGTCCGTCTCTGCAAAGACGACCCCAAATTCCACTCCTATGTCTCTCTGCCCTTCGGCTGCGTCAGGGGGGACACGGAGTACCGCCTCCTGCAAGCAGCGTACCTCTCCAAGCCCGGAGAGGTGCTGGCAAAGTCCCTCAATATCACGGCCCAGGAGGATGTCCTCTTTGCCATTTTCTCCAAGGGACAGAAGCAGTACCATCAGCCCCCCGACGACTCCGCGCTCTGCGTCTTCCCCCTTCGCGCTGTCAACGCTCAGATCAAGGACCGCCTGCAGTCCTGCTACCAGGGGGAAGGCAACCTGGAGCTCAACTGGCTGCTGGGGAAGGACGTCCAGTGCACCAAAGCGGTAAGGATGCTCCAGCTGTTGGCCGCGGTAGCCTCTGAGAACATCTATCAATGCCAGGCCCTATGGCACATGAGCTTGTCGGGTTTTCCCTCGCTTGTGGCCAGTGGTGATTGAGGGAGAAGTCAGTGTCCGTACTCCCCGTGTTGTAGAAAGGAAACTGAGGCACGGCAAGGTGGCTGGTAGGAAAGTGTGCAGCTGGGTGGTGGAAGGAGCGACAGTACATCTTCCCACTTAGCACTTGGGTTTTTATGTGGCTAGAGCCCGTTCCCCGTGCCATCACCCGGCTTTCCAGGGCAGCCAGGCTGGTGCTTTCCACCAGCCCCCTGTTCCCCTGGGGAAGGTCTATCTCTGCCCTGGAGCTGGGCTGCTTGTGCCAGAGGGAGGTGGCTGCTCCCGGCAGGACCAAGCAGCA